CACACCCCTCACACGTTTCGTGTCCCCATAGGGAGCTCCACCGAAGGTCCGAGTGGCTGCGTTCGCGTGCGCCCACCGCACCCATGTCGGCACACCCCGCGCACGTTTCGTAGCTCCATAGGAAGTGCCGCCGAAGGTCCGAAGCGGTTGTGTTCGCATGCGCCCACCGCACCCATGTCGGCACACCTCTTACACGCTTCGTGGCCCCAAGGAGCTCCACCAAAGGCCCACATTGCTGCGTTCGCATGCGCCCGCTGCACCCATTGCGGCACACCTCTCACACGTTTCGTGGCCCCATGGGGACCTCCAACGAAGGCAGCAGCGGCTGCGTTCGCATGCGCCCACCGCACCGATCTCGGCACACCGCTTACACGGTTCGTGGCTCCGTACGGAGGTCCACCGAAGGCCCAAATGGCTGCGTTCGCATGCCTCCACCGCACCCATGTCGGCACACCCTCATACGTTTCGTGGCTCCATAGGGAGCACCATCGAAGGTCCCAGCGGGTGCGTTCGCATGCGCCCACCGCACCCATGCCGGCACACCTCGCACACGTTTCGTGGCCCCATGAGGAGCTCCGCCGAAGGCCCAAATGGCTGCGTTCGCATGCGCCCACCGCACCCATGTTGGCATACCCCTGACACGTTTCGTGGCCCCATAGGTGGCTCCACCGAAGGCCCCAGCGGCTGCGTCGCACGCGCCCACCGCACCCTTGTTACACGCTTCGTGGCCCCATAGGGAATTCCACCGAAAGCCCCAGTGGCTACTTTCGCATGCGCCTGGTTCACCCAGTTCGGCACACCTCTCACACGTTTCGTGGCTCCATAGGGCGCGCCGCCGAAGGCCCAAATGGCTGCTATCGCATGCGCCCACCGCACCCATGTTTGCACACCCCTCACACGGTTCGTGGCCTCGTACAGGGTTCCACCGAAGGCCCAAATGGCTGCTATCGCATGCGCCCACCGCACCCATGTCGGTAAGTCCCACACACGTGTCGTGGCCCCATAGTGAACCCCACCGAAGGCCCCAGCGGTTGCGTTCGCATGCGCTCACCGCACCCATTTCGGCACACCCCGCGCACGTTTCGTGGCTCCATAGGGAGCGCCGCCGAAGGCGTCAATGGCTGCGTTCGCCTGCGTCCACCGAACTAAAGTCGGCAAACCCCTCACATGTTTCGTTGCCCCGCAAGGAGCTCCACCGAAGGCCCCAATGGCTGCGTTCGCATGCGCCCAGTGCACCTATTTCGGCACACCCCTGGCATGTTTCGTGGCCTCACTGTGAGCTCCATCGGAGGTCGCAGCGGTTGCGTTCGCATGCGCCCACCGCCCATTCGGTACACCCTTCACACTCTTCGCGGCCCCATAGATAGTTCTGCTTCATTGGTCCAACCTGCTTTGCGGTACTCGCAACTGCATATGGTTGGGTCATTCGCCGGGATGATTTTTGCGATGTTCAATTTTTCTGCAACATCAGATCTGAGGGTCCAGCGCCGAACGAAGAAGTCCGCACGGACCTCCGACATTTTGATGGTGATGCAGAACTTCGTTGCTGTAGGACAACTTCCCCCCTCCCTGGACCCCAGCTTCGCCTCACCTGGTCCACCAAGGGTATGTCCTGAACTTCTTGGTGCTGCTTCGGGTTCGCGAGGCCCCCCAGAGGGCCTCGGAAGCCCCCGCGACGGCCCAAGATGCCTGGCCGCGGCCACGAGAGATCTACAGAGGGCACCCGCCCGGTGGGCGGGTGCCGCGGCGGTGGGCGGCGCCCTTTGCCGCGAAGAGACCGCTCTCAGGGCGTACCAGGAACACGTCCGTCGGATCGCGCTGCCGCCGAAGATGGGGGGAGGGGGAGGGGAGAAGGAACGGGGTGGTTACGGCAATTAGCTTCGCGTCGCGCTGACGCGCGGCGACCCCGCTGGGGGCGTTCCAGGTTGAACGCCGCCAGTGTCCCAGAATCGGCGAAGATGGAGGGATCTGGTAATCGGGAAACCGCCGATCGTTCAAGGTCGGACAGTCCACGCGCTGTCATAGACAAGCGACCGGGTCGCCGCGACGCAGGCCTGCCATGCGGTCAGTGGGTAGAGGCGGAAGGTGTTGATAATTGAGGAAGTCAGGAGGGACAGATCGATCAGGGGCGGAAAAGAGGGGGGTGATGACTAGGGGGGGGTGGATATCATGGCGGGGGCCATGATATTTCCCCAGATTTCATGGCGCCTCTTCTTACTTCATTACGTCCCTGGCCCCCCCGCTGGGCCGCGCACGTGCCGCCGGTCATGATTTGCACCCCTCTTGGACACCCCCCTCTTGGCCGCTCCCGAACAGACGCAGACACACATATATGATATTCCCAGGAACATATGAGAATTTCCATGCAGATGCGGCGCGCTCCGCCGCCAAAGCGGGCGGCACTGGCGCCATTTTTCGGGGTTTTGCCTTTGCCGATCCGTGGATCTGGCGACCGCGCGCCAGAGCCACACGTCGTTCCGGGACGATCGACACGGGTGCGGAAGAAAGGGGTACAAAGACCGACACCATTCTCCTCTCATTTGAGAAGGACTCGCTGTCGGTGTCGCCACGGGCGTTGTCCGTTTGAGGCAAAGGTCCGATGGTTTTGGGCAATCCTCGCAGTTGGACATCGTACCCATGTTGTCCGTACCCATTTCGAGCGTCCACATTGAGGAGGAGGGCAACATCTTCTTCGGAGCTCACCGGCGATCCAGTCCCACAGCCTATCGGCTGCAGATCTTGCCATCCAACCTTTTTGGCCTACCCCCGCTGGCCTTCCCTGGGCGTCCAGATGGCCCTGTCTGGCTGCTGGCGCCGCCAGATGTTGCCAGAGACCCCGAAGATGAATCCGAGGTGCCCCCAAAGGACCTCAACGGCAAGTATTTCTGTTTGGTTCCCTAGCTAGGTTTGACTTGAGGGTTCTTCTTGTTTCCTGTCGCACTTCTTTCACTCATAACGGCGTAGAGCGCCAATATATCGCATATCATTGCGTAGTACACTATGCAATTGCACTGCGCATCAGTGAACACCATAGCATACGACTATAATGGCAGGGCTTGGTATCGCACAGCAGTGCTTACATCATCATCGTAGTTTTACATAATAGCCTAGCGCTGCATTGTAGAGCCTGGCACAGCATATCATAAAATACGGTGACATGCCATCTCGTAACAAGCGTTCCACAACATGGTTTAGCGTAGCAGTGCATACTCCTAGCATCTCATAGCACTGCATAGCATAGCATGGCAGAGCATGGTACTGCATTGTGTACTGTAGCCTGGTGTAGCATCTATAACATAGCATAGCTTGGTGTCCATAGCACGGCAATTGATCATTGGTCGATCGGTCGATGAGCGTGCAGGAGGAGGAGGGAAGAGGAAACGGTGAAAGGGAACATTTTTTGTTCATGATCGTGCGACTGGAGCCTAAGCGCCCACGTAGCGCGCGCGCGGTTCTAGTACCCATTTATTTCGTCGACATTTTTCTGCTGATGATTGTGACGGCGATGGCGATGGCGATGGTGGTGAGGATGCTGGTGATGATATTGACGCTGATGTTGAGGAGGAGGATGAGGATGAGGAGGAGTAGGAGGAAGATGATGAGGAGGAAGAGAGGATGGAGCAGGAAGGAAAATATTAGATGTTATTGAGAGTAGTGGGAACAAACAGGAATAATAGGAACATGAAAAGGAGGAGGACTGGGAGGGAAAGGGAGGAGTGGGAGGAGCTCGATGATGATGACGATGCTGCTGCTGCTGATGACGATGATGATGAGTGTGGCGATGTTGATGGTGGTGGTGGTGGTGGTGATGATGATGATTATGTTCATGCATGATGATTATGATGATGCTGATGATGTTGAATATGATGATGGGTGGTGGTGGTGGTGATGATGATGACGATGACGATGATGGTGATGATGATGACGACGATACTGATGATGATGATGGTGGTGGTGGTGGTGATGGTGATGCTGATGATGCTGATGCTGATGCTGATGATGATGATGATGGCGACGACGATGATGATGAGGATGATGATGATGATGATGCTGATGATGATGATGATGATGATGATGGCGACGACGATGATGATACCATACCGATGATAAGGATGCTGATGAGATGATGGTGAGGATGGTGATGCTGATGATGATGATGAGGATGATGAGGATGGTGATGGTGATGATGGTGATGATGATGATGATGATGATGGTGTTGATGATGACGGTGATGATGATTATGATGATTAGGATGGTCATGCTGATAATGAGGATGATGATGATGCTGATGCTGATGCTGCTGTTGCTGATTATGCTTAGGATGATGATGATGATGATGATGATGATGATGCTGATGATGCTGCTGCTGCTGATGATGATGATGATGGTGGTGGTGGTGATGATGATGATCATGATGATGATGATGATGATGATGATGATGATGATGATGATGATGATGATGATGATGATGATGATGATGATTAGGAGGAGGAGGAGGAGGAGGAGGAGGAGGAGGAGGAGGTATGCAGGAGGAGGAGGAGGAAAGACACGGAACAGGAGGGCAGCGTGGGCATCCAAAGGAGGAGGGACCCCGGTTGTTTGGCTACCCGACCTTTCTTATTTTGACGCGAACTGCGGGCTTGGACCTCTCCTCCCCAATTCCCCCTTTTCGGAAAGAAACAAAGAGGAATGGAGAGAGCACATGGAAGGAGAGAGAAGAGACGATGTGGTTTAGGAGTAGGAACAGGTGCTGGAGTAGTCGTGGTTGTGTTTGCAGTAGCCGTTTGAGCAGGAAGTAGCATAGCAGTCAGCTTTGTAGTCTTACGGATCTTGTAAGAAGTATCTGACATGCTGGTAGTCGCGGTTGTGGCTGCAGTTGTACATGTATGAGTATGACGAGCAGAACGAGGGAAGAAGCTGGATCGCAGGAGGCAGGCTGACTGCATCGCACGGAGAACTGAGTGCACCCGAGTCCCTGCCAGACGCGGTGGCCGGCCCAG